CAAACTTAGCAGCGTCAGATTGATTTAACCCTGCGCCCATCCACACGACGAAGCCATTTTTGTCAACTTAAAGGGCTCTTAAAATAGATTTCTGTACTCCTCCCCGATGAGGGGATTAGCACTGAAATCGACCTTGCTGGGTTGAATTTGGGGTAATGTGGATGCAATTCGACTTTATAGGCCTCCGGGAGCTATCCCAGAGTGCTCCAATGTGACTGCTCTGGACAATGCTTTCAACTCAGATGCACTAGCCAGGTACACAGGAAAAGCCCTGGGAATTTTTGAATTTCATTTCCTGTTTGGCCAGCGTGGCGAGCTCATCAGCAGAGGTGACCATGCAGTCCCAGAATCGCAGAAGAGCTCCAGCATGGACCAAACGGGAGGTACTGGATCTGATAGCATGGATTCATGTCCCCATACAGCAATCAGAACTCTGTTCCAAAAGACTAAATGCCAAAATATTTGAAAAAAATCTCTAAGGCCATGATGGACAGAGGCTATAACAGGGACCAGCAGCAGTGCCATGTGAAAATTAAAAACATAAAATTAATGGAGATATCCTATCTCCTAGAACTGGAAGGGACCTTGAAAGGTCATTGAGTCCAGCCCCCTGCCTTCACTAGCAGGACCAAGTACTGATTTTGCCCCAGATACTTAAGTGGCTCCCTCAAGGGTTGAACTCACAACCCTGGGTTTAGCAGGACAATGCTCAAACCACTGAGCTATCCCTCCCCCCTACCAAAAAACCAAAGAGGCAAATGGCAGCTCCGGGTCTGACCCCCAGACATGCCGCTTCTATGATGAGCTGCATGTATGGGGGTGTTAGTTGGGTTTGTGCTGCACGTTAACCCGAAAACCACAGCTGCTCCTTTTAAATGGCCAACCCAAAACGTGCTTGGTATGGGAAATGAGGGCGCTGCTGTTTGAAACCATTCCCACATGTTATGAAGGTTGAAGAAGCCGAAAGACTGTGGCTTACCGTGGCTGCCTGCAAGCCGAATTCCGTTGCCCGGCCCTGCGTGTGTGATCTCTCACACCAAACCGGCAGGCCCTCAATAGAAGAGGCAAAATGCAACCTTGTACTGAAAGCACATGTGCTATATAATGTTAACAGCTTGGTTCACCGTGAAAGAGTCTACCCATTGTTCTCTAAAATGTGTCTTTTCAAATACTACTCTCCCTTTTTTTCCTCCCGCAGCTGCAAATGTTTCAACGCTCCCCCTATCATCTCCATCCCAGAGGCTAGCGCAGATAAGAAGGCGAAAAAAACACCCTCACGATGAAAATGTTCTCTGAGCTCATGCAGTCCTCCCACACTGAAAGAACTCAGCAGAATGTATGGAGGCAAACAATGGCAGAGTCCCGGAAAGCCGAAAATGAACACGAGGACAGGAGGGACGAGCAAGAAGAAAGGTGGCGGGAGCAAGAGGAGAGGTTGTGGCAGCGTGATGAGAGGAGGCAGAATGCAATGCTGAGGCTACTGGAGGATCAAACTGATATGCTCCGGCGTACGGTTGAGCTGCAGGAAAGGCAGCAGGAGCACAGACCGCCGCTGCAGCCTTTATGTAACCAACTGCCCTCCTCCCCAAGTTCCATGGCCTCCTCACCCAGACGCCTAAGAACGCCCCCCCCGCCCCCTCTGGCCACCCAACCACTCCACCCCAGAGGACGGCCCAAGCAACAGAAAGCTGGCATTCAATAAGTTTTGAAATACAGTGTGGTCTTGTCCTTCCCTCCGCCCCTGCCCCTCCCGGGCTACTTTGGCAGTTATCCACCTATGTGTGTGACAAATTAATAAAGAATGCATGATTCTGAAACAACAATGCCTTTATTGCCTCTGCAAGCAGTGATCGAAGGTGGGAGGTTGGGCTGGCTTACAGGGAAGTAGAGTGAACCAAGGGGGCGGGTTTTATCAAAGAGAAACAATCAGAACTCTCACACCATACTCTGGCCAGTCACGAAACTGGTTTTCAAAGCTTCTGTGATGCGCAGCACACCCTGCTATGCTCTTCTAACTGCCATGGTGTCTGGCTGTGTGTAATCAGCGGCCAGGCGATTTGCCTCAACCTCCCACTCCGGCATAAATGTCTCCCCTTTACTCTCACAGATATTGTGGAGCACACAGCAAGCAGCAATAACAATGGGAATACTGGTTTCGCTGAGGTCTAACAGAGCTTTTAAACGTCCAAATGCACATTCTACCAACATTTTGCACTTGCTCACCCTATAGTTGAACTGCTCCTTACTACTGTCCAGGGTGCCGGTGTATGGCTTCATAAGCCATGGCATTAAGGGGTAGCCTGGGTTCCCAAGGATAACTGTAGGCATTTCAACATCCCCAATGGTTATTTTCTGGTCTGGGAAGTAAGTCCCTTCCTGCAGCTGTTCAAATAGACCAGAGTTCCTGAAGATGCGAGCGTCATGTACCTTTCCCGGCCATCCCACATTGATGTTGGTGAAACGTCCCTTGTGATCCATCAGTGCTTGCAGCACCATTGAAAAGTACCCCTTGCGGTTTAGGTACTGGCTGCCAAGGTGGTCCAGTCCCAAGATAGGGATATGCGTTCCTTCCATCGCCCCACCACCGTTAGGTAATCCCTTTGCAGCAAAGCCATCCACTATGACCTGCACATTTCCCAGAGTCACTACCCTTGATAGCAGCAGCTCAGAGATTGCGTTGGCTACTTGGATCACAACAGCCCCCACAGTAGATTTGCCCACTCCAAACTGATTCCCGACTGACCGGTAGCTGTCTGGCATTGCAAGCTTCCAGAGGGCTATCGCCACTTGCTTCTGAACTGTGAGGGCTGCTCTTATCTTGGTATTCTTGCACTTGATGGCAAGGGAAAGCAAATCACAAAGTTCCATGACAATGCCCTTATGCATGCAAAAGTTTCACAGCCACTGGGAAGCATCCCAGACCTGCAACACTATGCGGTCCCACCAGTCTATGCTTGTTTGCCAGGCCCAGAATTGGCATTCCATGGCATGAGCCTGCCCCACTGCCACCAGGAAGTCCAAATTGCCGGGACCCGTACTTGGAGAGAAGTCTGTGTCCATGTCCTCATCATTCTCGTCACCGCCTCCTCGCCTGCTTTTGCGAGTTTTGGTTCTGCACGTACTGCAGGATAATGCGTGAGGTGTTTACAATGCTCATAACTGCCGCGGTGATCTGAGCAGGCTCCAGGCTTGCCGTGGTATGGCGTCTGCAGGAGAGCGGAGTTGCAACGCAAGCGGTGGCTGACTATGGATGCCATGAGAATAGATATTTATAGAGAACAACGAGAGGACCTGTGAGGTGGATTCATGAGAGCAGGAGAGCAGAGTTGCAGAGGAAGCGTACCTGGAGCCCATGACAGACAAAATGGAGAAATTCGCTATTGACACAATAGCAGCAGAGCAGAGATGCAGCGGAAACGGTGGATGACGATGGTGAGCAGTCCTACTGCACCGTCTGCTGCCAGCAGCACCTAGTACACAACAGCGGCGGTGTTGGTGAGCTGAGCTGAGCGGGCTGCACCCTTGCTGTGGTATGGCGGCTGCGCGGAGAAAAGGCGCGGAACGAGTGTCTGCCATTGCTTTCATGGAGGGAGGGGCAGCTGACGACATGTACCCAAAACCACCCGCGACAATGTTTTTGCCCCAGAATTCCAATGGGTGGCAGAGACTGCAGGAACTGTGGGATAGCTACCCACAGTGCAACACTCCGAAAGTCGACGCTAGCCACGGTACTGTGGACATACGCCGCCGACTTAATGCGCTTAGTGGGGACACACAAAACTGAGTGTATAAAATCGCTTCCTAAAAATCAACGTCTATAAATTTGACCTAATTTCGTAGTGTAGACATACCCTGAGAAGGGACATGATAACAGTTTTCAAGTAGATAAAAAGCTTGTTACAAGAAAAAGGGAAGCGGCCAGCAGCAGGTCCGGCTCCTAGGCAGAGGCGTGCAAGCAGCTCCGCACGGCTCTTGCCCACAGGCACTGCCCCCCGCCCACCAGCTCCCATTGGCCAATGGGAATGCAGAGCCGGTGCTCAGGGCAGGGGCAGCGCATGGAGCCCCGTGGCTCTCCCCCACCCCCAACCTAGGGGCCGGACCTGCTGCTGGCCGCTTCAAGGGCACAGCGCAGTGTCGGAACAGGTAGGGACTAGCCTGCTTTAGCTGCTCAGCACCCCCGACGGGACTTTTAATGGCCCGGTCAGTAGAGCTGACCAAAGCCGCCGCAACCCAGTGCCTTCATTCCGTGACCCAGTTCTGGGTCATGACCCACAGTTTGAAAAGCACTTATCTAGATAATACTTAGTCCTGCCGTGGGTGCAGGGGACTGGACTAGATGACCTCTCGAGGTCTCTTTCAGTCCTATGATTCTATGTCACTGTTACGGGCTGTAGAAGGCTCTGATTAGACAGGTAAGGCATAGTACAATGATTTGGTTGTTCAGGGGTGAGACAGAGATAATGACCAAACACATTATGCTTCATTTTCCAAACTTGCATTGTGATTAAACTTCACAAATAAAATAATTTCTGACTCAGGGCTCTAACTGCCTGCAAAATCTCCTGGCTGTTAAAAGTTACTTGCAGCAGGTCATGAGAGATTAGATTAGCTAAGGGCTGACATCAGTCTGCATTTCTATCAAGCCCAGCATAACAGTTTAGTGTTTAACCCCCCAACAAATATATAACCAGTGGGGATTGAATCCAGAACCATCAGCACTAATAGTACTACAGTAGAATTAGAGGAGTAACCATTAGCTGGTAGCAATAGTATGTTCTTATACTCTCATATGGATCTGCAACTAAAAGGAGACAGGAAACACTGACCCAGAGACATAGGAATGTTGATTCATGCCGGTGGGAACTCCTCCATCACCACCCAAAAATAGGATTAATAAAGTAAATTGCATCTGCCCATTAACACAGCAGCATGAATTAAAAGTAGTTTGAAAGCACATCTTCTATGGAAAGCACTGTCACAAGAAATACACCTTTTGTTACCTGTTTATGCCACTATTGAACGTGCCCCAAACAAACGTAGAATTTGATTGCTCCTGTAGATCTGCCAAAGGAAACAGACATCACTGTGGCTCACTACTGAATAACTTCTGCAAGCGTCATAGCAACATAAAATGAGAAATATGGCAGAGACTCTGCTAGGTTTACAAAACGGAATGAGAATTGAGCTAAGGCTTGGCGTAAGTGACAGCAAAGCAGACATTTAATTGAAAAATATAAAGCGTAAAGGTTATCATCAATTTCCACTTTCATCAAAGCACAGATGGGGCAACAGACTACATGGAAAATAACAGATGTTTTGTAGAGAATAGCAGGCATGTGGTAGAGCCTGTGAAGCAGGAGAACTTAATTTGTTCAGGGACAGTATAATTTGGTGTCCCAACACATGATCTGTGCAGAAGGATCTATGGGACCTCTCTCTTAGTCCATGTCACTTCATTAGGGGCAAGAAGAAGGGAATAGCAGGGGCTGACAGCCACCCTATGTCAATCTACTTCCTCACCTTTATCCCAGTCTTCGTCACATGGGGGCGGCTGCCACATGCTGACAGTGTTCATCTTCTCTCTGTGGCAGTTATTCGACTGACTCACTTAAAGCAAAGAAGATTCTTAGTGAGAAAATCTTTTTGGATAAAATATAATCCTATTTTAGGGACATTAATCATGTTTTGACCTAGCTGCAGAATAGCTCTAGGCTTTGGAGAGGAGCAGCACACACTGGAAGCTGATCAGTACTCCCCTAGTCTTGGGGGCAAAACTCTTTAGGCCAAGGATGGGCACCTTGAAGGTAGCAAAGGGACTGAAAATCCACGAGAACCCTTCGGTGGCCCATACCTTAAGAGCCTATATATTGCCTAACTCTGAAAGGTTTGCTACAACACAGAATGTTTGGCAGGCCAAAGCAAACGATCTGGCAGGGTGGTTACAGCCCCCCATTTGCCAATCCCTGTTTTAAGCCTTTTCTAAAGCTAAACAATTCTGCACACATTTTTCAGCAGTGGTGCAGCTGCTTCAACATACGCATTGGGAGAGGGTTCAGGGGTGTTTCTATTGTCATGTCACAAAAATCTGCTCAGGGTTTTTTCCAGTACTATCATGCTCTAAGCCCCGTCTACATTAACATTATTGCTAGCTTCAGTACAACTCTACTTTTGCCATAGAACAGGTACGTTTTCCAGTGTAGTGATAGCCACATAGACATCAGTGGGGAGAGAAATTGGAACACGACCTACATAACCAAGCGATTTAGGTGCTAGGGTGACAGACCTGGACAGTGAACTCCTCGTCAGAGCCGACAGCATGGGCAGTGGTAGGAAAGCTTCCCCATAATTCCCTCCCCAACTTGCCCCACTCTGAACTGGAGGAACCCACCTTCAATTGGGAAAGTTATTCAGCCTCCCTGGCCCAGTCATGGCTTTTCTGCTAAGATAGTCAAGTAGGATGTAACAGAAGTGAGGATTGTTATGATCTAGACACTTGTCCATTAACAACTGGAAAGACCAATTTATTTCACATATGCCACTAGACAGGCTATAAAGATTTTTGGTCACTATCAAGTCCTATCTGCATTGGAGACCCAAATCTCTCATGGCCACTAGCTTTCCGCTCTAAGCGGTCCAGATTACCAACTAGATCTCATTTCAACACACACAGTTTATGGCACAATGTACAGTTCCCATTTTAATGCTAAAATCTCTGGCAGATAACACATGTAATGCAAGCCAGTTGCCTCTCAGATGCTTAGGAGAATTTGCATGGACACAGAATGAATGAAACTCAAGTCTCCAAGGGCTCCTGCTGTTTCTGTATCACATAGCACTACAGGTAAAGGGTTGCTTATGGAATAATAGAGTATTAAAACTATCTTTAACAGCAAAAATTAAGTTAGAACGCTGTTAGCCCAAGAGCTCCAGAAGTGACTTTACAAAGCCAAAGGAATCTAATATTTTCTCACCAATGTCTTGCTCAGTGCAGCTTTTGTCATCACAGCTTGAGATATGATGGCCGATCTCAGCTCTGGGAACCTGATGGCGGGCATTAAAGGGGCATGTGGCTAGCTGCTTTGCAACATCAGGGTGGTTCTAGAGAAACAGAAAAAAGTACGTGCTATCTCACTGAATTCATCCTAACCCTTGTGTTTTCTAGTCACTAGTGAAGGGTTTGTGCAATCTGCATCCTGAAATAGGTTGAAAAAAATGTAAACAAGGAAAGCCAAAAA